TTGACAACCACTGATCTGCTTTCCACTCTTATAAATTTACTTTTACCTGCATTTCATATAAATGAAATCATATGTAGCCTTCTGTGACTACTTCCCTTACTTAGCAAACTGCATTTAAGATTCATCCATGTTTTTGCGTCAGTAGTTTGCTTCTTTTTCTTTGCTGAGTTCATCATGATTTACTACAGTTTATTTATCCATTCATCTATTGAAGCATATCCTGATGGATTCCAGTATTGGGCAGTTATGACTAAAGTGGCTGTAAACATTTTCAGACAGATTTTTGTTTGAATTTCAATTATTAATTCAGTTTGGTAAATACCTAGGAGTGGAATTGCTGGCTCATGAGGTAAGTGTATGTTTAACTTTATGAGAAACTACCAAACTTCCAACTGTTTTCCAAAATGGCATTGCTTCAAGCAGTATATGCCGCAGCAAGAACACTTTCACATTCATCTCGAGGGAGCCAATTTTGTCCCCTTCCTGGCTTGGTAGAAGTTTTTTTTTTTTTTAAATATCCTCAGGTTCTCTTAGTACTCATCAATATATAAGACCTAGTTTTTAAGATCCAACATACATTCATAAGTTAGTCTTTTAAATACTGTAGTATGTTTTGTGGAGTCTATGTGGTTTTAGAAAGCTTGAGTGGTACAAACAGTTAATATATTTTGCTGTTGTTTTAGTTATCTAATGCTCGGAAACCCAAGGAGGGGTCGCTATGAGTCGGGGCCGACTCGACGGCAAATAACAACAACAACAACAACTACAATGCTGTTGTAACAGAAATACCACAAGTGGGAGGCTTTAACAAACAGAAATTTATTTTCTTACAGTTTAGGAGGCTTGTTGTTATGTGCCGTGGAGTTGTCTCTGACTCATAGAGCCCCCTCCTTGGGTTTCCGAGGCAGTATCACTACAGAAGTAGATTGTCCAGTCTTCCTTCCTAGGAGTGGCTGGTGGGTTTGAACCACCAACCTTCTGGTTAGCAGTGCCTTAGGCACTACACCACCAGAGCTCCCTTTTAGGAGGCTAGACGTCTGAATTCAGAGTATAGGCTATAGGGGAAGGCTTTCTTTCTCTGTTGGCTCTGGAGGAAGATCCTCGTCTCTTTGTGTTGCTTCTGCTCTGGGGCAATTTTCATGTGGCTTGGCATGTGTGTTCTCCCAGCTCTGCTTCTTAGCTTGCTTGTGTAACTTCTTTTTTATCTCAAAAGAGATTGACTCATGATATCTTACACACATCCTGCATCATCAACATAACAAAGACATCCCATTCCCCAATGGGATTATAACTACAGCCATAGAGGTTAAGAACTAGAATACATGTTTTGGGGTAACATAATTCAATTCATAATAGTTGCTAACTGAAAGGTTTGAAGTTTGAATCCACCCAGAGATGCCTCAAAGAAAAGGCCTGGTAATATACTTATGAAAAATCAGCCACTAAAAACCCAATGGAACATAAACAGCAAAAGGAAAATAAATGGGACCTCGTAACAATGAAAAACTTTCGTTCATCAAAAGACCTTGCCAAAAAGATTCCAGTCACTACTCACCAAAGAAGAACGTACAATGCTTTTGTATAGTATGTTATGCCAACTGGGCTTGATATCCCCTGTGACCACGGTCCTGAGCCCAGAGGTCCAATAGCTCACTCCATCATGGTGGTTGACTGTGCCTAAAAAGTTATCATAACTTTGCCCCTCATTAGTTCTAGTTATATGGGCATCACATACAGATATGTATATAGAAATATTGTCTGCCAACCTTAAATATGGTCATGGGTACATTTCCTTTTGCCCAGACATATCTTATCATTCAGCCTGTCTACCCATCATAGTATTATTATGTAAAAGTGTTTATCTTTGTTGTCTGTACCTCTTGTGCACCTCTTTGTGTCTTCCTTTTCCTTTGTGTTATTGTGTTGGTCACTTGCTTTGGTATATTGCCTTTCCCTTCACCCAGGCAGCCATCTAGATGAAACAATGGGTCTCTTCTCATCCAGAGCAAAGAAAAATGAAGACAACCAAATTTGCATAGCACAATTAGTCCAAGGGACTAGTGGACCATATGAACCTCAGCCTATATGACCATGAGACCAGAAGAACTAGATTGTGCCTGGCTACCACTATCAACCACTCAGAAGGGGATTAGTACAGGAGATACTACAGAGAGTGGGAGAACATTGTGGATTAAAAAAAACTCAAAATCATAAAAAAGGCCATGTTTACTGGTCTGATAGAGCCTGGTGAGACCCCTGAGACTATGGCTCCTATTTATCCTTCAGGTCTGGAATTGAACTTGCTTCTGTGGCTTCAGCCAGCAATAGACAGATATATAGGGTGAACATTTATATCAGGTAGATACACACATTAGAATGATCAATCATGGGAGAACAGAAGGGCAGTATTTGCACAGGGAGATAGGTCAGGGGGTAGGAATGCATAAGAAAGAAGAACACAGGGAAGAGGTAATTAACTACAGGGAGGAAGTGGGGAGAGAGCTGTTACATTGTGGGAAAGTGTAGTCAATGTTATTAAACACAATGTGTAAGAACCGCTATATGGGAAATGAATTTGCTTTGTGAACTTTCATTCAAATCACCATAAAAATGAAAATAAAAATAAAAGGTTTTGCCAAAAAAAGCCAACAGACAAGCTACTAAATGGGAGAATATCTTTGAAAAATAGATATTTGGAAATAATCTAATAACCGAAATATATATAAAACTTGAACAACTTAACAACAAAAACACAAATAACCCAATCATAAAATGGGCAAAGGATTTGAACAGACATTTCACCAAGGAGAATATTCAAGTGACCATCAAATACATGAGATGGTCAACATTATTAGCCATCAGAGAGACTCAAATCAAAAACAGAATAAAACACCATTTCACTTCCAATAGGATGGCTAGCATTTTTAAAAAAAGTAAAAAACAAGTGATGGCAAGGATGTGCAGAAATTGGAGCCCCTATGCATTGCTGGTGGGAATGCAAAATGATACAGCTTTTGTATAACACAATGTGGCTGTTCCTCAAAAAACTAAATATAGAACTAAAATATGAACAGACAATTCCACTCTTAGATGTATATTCAAAAGGCTTGAAAGACTCAAACAGAGACTTGTATACCAATTTCATTGAGGCACTATTCACAACAGCCAAAAGTTTGTAACAATCTAAATGCTACCAACAAATGAAAGAATAAACAAAATTTGGTACATACATAAATGGAATACCACTCAGCTAGTAAGAAGTGAAAGAGCTCTGGTAGTATAGCAGTTAAGGGATTTGGCAGCAAATCAAAATCTCAGTGGTTTGAGCCCCTCAGCTGCTCTATGGAAGAATGATGAGGCAATCTGTTTCTGTAAAGATTTATAGCCTTGGAAGCCCAATGGGAGTTGCTATGAGTCAGAATCGACTCAATGGCAGTGAAAGAGTAAGAAATAACATCTTGACACATGCTACAATGTGGATGCAGCTTGAAGACATTATGTTGAATGAAATCAATCACAAAAGGACAAATATTGTATGACCTCACTTATACAAAAAGGCAAGATCAGGCAAATGTATAGAGACCAAAGTTTTTTAGTGGTTACCAGGCCAGGAGAGAAGAAAGGGAGAGTTATCGATTACAGAGTACTGACTTTCAGTTTGTGGTGATGGAAAAATCATATTGATTAAGGATAGAGTTACATGGACAGTTAGTATAATTGCTATCAATAAGTTGTATACTTGGAAAATCTTAAATTGGCAAAAGTTGTGTAATAGATATATATACAACAGCAAGGAGGTAAAAAGAGTAGCTGTTGAGGCTGATGATGAACAACCAAACACTTCATGGGATTTGGTTCTTTGGTTTGAAAATGTACGGTTATGATTTCATGGACATCACAGGTAATTGGCCTAATAGTGTGTATATTGCTTCCTTTCTAATTTCTAGTTCATTGCCTAGTGCCTGGGGTCTTAAAACTTGCAAGTGGCCATCTGGTGTATGGCAATTTGTCTCTATTTGCCAGGAGCAACAGAGCAAGAGGAGACAGGAGTAGGATGAGGAATGGACTGTGTGGCTAATTGTTTCTATGAACAACTGACTACTTTGCCGTGATTCCAGAAGAACCAGATGGTGCCCAGCTACTACTACTGAAGAATTCGATCAAATATTCTATAGAAGAATCCTGATCAAAAGGGGGAACATGCAAAACAGATTTCCAAATCTCATGGAATTCAGATTTTCTGGAGCCATGGAGGCTGAATGATGCCCTGAAACTATTGACCTGAGATAATCTTTAAACCTTAAACTAAAAATAACCCCTAAAATTTTCTTAAAAAAAACAAACAGTTGCTTAGCTTAATTAGTAAAGAGTGTCTGCCTTCAGCATTGTGCTCTTTTGAGGTCTATCTATAAGACATTAAATGGACAACAGCAAGTTGAAAAATTAGATAGGACATTTAGGGGCAGTGAGTTTATATTAATGGAAGAGGAGCAGCTTGGAAAAGGAGGATGAGAATGGTTGTACAACTTGGCAAATGTAATCAATGTCACTGAATTATATATGAACAAATTGTTGAACTGGTGTGTGTTCTGCTGTGTATAACAACAACAAAATAAGTTATTTCTTACTTCCAAAAACTTAACTTTCAAAAAAAAAGAAAACCTTAAATTATCACAGTTTTATTCTCACATCCATGGGGTCTCCATGAGTTGGAATCAGCACCATGGCAACTGGTACTAGTATTATAACTTTGATTTTCCTCTTAAAAAATACACTAAGGTATATAATTGAAAGATAATAATTTCTGATGTCAATTTGATTTACAAAGTTATTTTAGTACATAAAGATTTTACGATACAATTATACTGTTCCCCCCCTTTTAATTAAAGGTACAACTGCGGTTTCATCATTAACTTTCTAAACTTCTTTGTGAAATAAATCAAGATCTTAATTGGAAATATTTCAGATAATGTATTTTAATTGTTGGTTCATTTTTGCAGAAATCTACAAGGCCAACTTCTTAACATGCAACAAGATAAATTCATACATTCAAGTAAAACCACTAGTGACACACAGCTTTCTCCAAATGGAAGTGATGAAGAAAGTAATGGTTAGTTCAGTCTCGATTAGATATTTTCATTTTTATTATTTCAAACTATATCCATCAAGAGTTAATCAACAACTGTGTTTGGTTTTCTTTAATGTATCATTATCAACTAGACTATGTAGCCTTTGGTCTACAGATCAAAATCATATACATTTTATTTCCATTTCCTAGATTTATTTTAGTTAAATATTTTCATTTAAAAAATGAATGCTTCTTCAGCTTTATCTGAGAAAGTGAGAGTAGTTATATCTTTGCATGAATACACAGCATAGTTTTGCTTATGGTACTCCAATGAAATGATATTACCAGGTAAAATATATCCTTTGATATTATTTTATAATCTTATTTCCTAGTTGAAGAGACTAAAGTACAACACCCAGCTCTTTTCCTGAAAGCAGAAGAATTAAAAATAGAGAGATTTGAACCAGCTCTAAAGATAGTAGAACTGGATGATGTAAGTGTGTGATGACCATTCACATTAGTGACAGGAATTTAATGGCATATAGTTTCAAATACATATTATTTTCAACAACACTTCTTTCATAATTCTGTATAGCTTAAGAGAAATTTTACAAGTGTTTGAATCTGAACATGCTCATAGAAATACAGAAGAGTATTGTTTTTATGTAGAGAGTAAGTTTGTTAGCTGAATTGATGTTCTGTCACATGAGAGGTGAGAAGATCTTTTACTGTTTAGATTATATTTACTATTTACTTGTTTATATTACCAGAGATATAATTTGATAGTCGTTAAATTTAGTTCTTTATGTCACCAGATTTTTAAACAATAGTTAATCTCATCATATGGTGTCTACTTAATAACATTTAATGTAAATTTAGTTTTTTGAATGTCATTTAAAAGTATATTCCATTTAAAGAAAGAAATTGTATTTAAGACTTAAGTGGCTTAGTATAACATGATAATATAATATAATAATAATAACTTGAATATGCTTTTATTATTTATACTAAGTAGAATCAGCTAGCTAGAGTTGGTTTAAGGTATGACACACTCAATGCATTTCCAACTTTCTAGTTATCTATTAGTCAAAGATACTTGTCTAGAAGTTTATCTTATTGTTGTTATAACAGATGTTGACAAGACTGGAGGAAATACCTATTTAAATATTGCTTTCTTGTTTAGGTTGATGTCATCTACTTTTTTATTTCCCCCCCCTGGAGAGAGAGCTTAGCAACTTTTTTAAAAATTAATTTTGTTGTTGAGAATATACACAGCAAAACGTACATCAATTCAACAGTTTCTCCATGTACAATTCAGTGACACTGATTCCATTCTTCAGATGGTGCAACCATTCTCAGCCTCCTTTTTTGAGTTTTTCCTCCTAGTAACATAAACTAACTCACTGCCCCTTAAGATTCCGATCTAATCTTTCAACTTGCTGTTGTGAGTTTGATCCCGTGTAGCTAGATCTTGAAAGACTACAATGCTGAAGGCAGACATTCTTTAATAGTTAAGCTAAATTATTGCTTGGGTTTAAGAAAACTTCAGGGGATATTTTTGGTTTAAGGTTAAACAATTATGTCAGGGCAACTTCTTTATTTCCCTTTGGCTAAATGTGGTCTGTTGAACAACTAAATATAGACATATTCACACATTCATACACATGCGTGTAAACACTAATCATTAAATTATTGATGCATACAGCAAACTTATACGAGTCAGAGAATTAAAAACATCTTAATCACTAATCTGCTTGGCACTTGGAAGGTGCATAATAAAATATAAGTTGTTTTTGTTGTTTCTGGGCACGACAGTAGTAATAAAGTGATGGACACAGCAAGTGCCCTCAAAAAATATCTGTTGAATTTATTGAGTTTTAATAGAACTGATATTTTATAACACATAACCAGAGAGCTCATGCAATCATTTAAAGTAAGAAAATATACTAATAAGATCCACAGGTCATCTGGTTAATGTATACTAAATGTATTGACCACACTAATATTGTACAACATATTTCAATAAGACTTATGAAGAGGAATTTGAAGAACGGGGAAATGTTGTGCCTTACAAGGTTGAATTAGCTGATGCAGACAGTAAACAAAGGTAAGATCTTTCTAGTTCACTTTGGATGCTTGTTAAAAACTCACAAAAAATCAACTCTATAAATGAGAAATACATGGTCTTAAAAATTTGTGACTTTACTGTTAGAGTATATTTTACTTAAACTGGGGTTTAACTTATGTGCAATATAGCTAATATTTGTCAACATCAAGCAGTTAGAAAATTATGTTTGTTTGTACTTTCACCTAACACTAGGATTATTTAATAGATGCTTCTACTTTAGAAATTGCAATTATTTGAAATGTTTATCAAACTCTGATGTTTTTCATAAGCTTTCTTTCTCTTTTTCTCCAAAGATACTCTTTCGCTTAGTTGGCTATGAATACTAAATAAAAACGTTTTTATAAATCTTTAGGTTGAGAGGCACAAAGAGCTCCTGGATATAGATTATTTCCTAAGTAGATCTTTCTGGTTGATAGATTAATGAACTATAATGATTCACTTTATAGCTGTTGTACAGAATTTTATCGTTTACAAATACAAATCAATATCTCACTGTATCTACCAGTAACATTAAATATTACTCCAGTTCCCCATTCTTACTTGGAGTAATTGTTACTCTAAGTTGTTGTTGAAATTTTAGTTAACATCTTAAGTTTTCTGACCACAAAGCTTTAACTTGGGTAACCATGGGAATGAAGTTCCTATTAAGTATTATATCAATTCTTCATTTATATGTTCAGATCAACATAAGTCATTGTCTGTATTCTGGAACAACCACGTGCCTAAGTGGAGCTCTAGTGATGCAGTGGTTGAGAACCAAAAGGTCAGTAGTTCAAAACCACCAGATGTTTCAGAGGAGAAAATATGGCAGTCTTCTTCCATAAAGATTTACAGCCTAGGAAACCCTATGGGACAGTTCTAAATCTCCTATGGGGTTCCTATGAGTTAGATTCAACTTAATGGCAATATGATGAGCCTAAGTAATGCCCTTTAACACAAAAAATAAACATGTTTGGTTACATAGACTCAGATATCTAGAAGCACGTATGCCTTTGACAGCAGGATTTTGGCAGGAAGCAATCTTCTGGTCAACACATTTGGTTTCTATCCATTACTCTATCCCCAAGGAAATGATGAGCATTTCTGTTCTCTAATTTGACTCTTCTATGTTTCTTGTCACATGTCTTTGCTTTGACCCCATGTACAGTGTTAGAAAAAGTTACTGATCGTGGTTTGGCAATAGCTTTACAACTTAGGTTTGGAGGTGCCTATGGAATTACATTAATATTATCTCCCTCCTGAGCATCTAAGTGACACAAAAGGACATTTTTGGTTGAGTATAATGAAATTTTATGATGGTACTATGTACAACTTATATAAATATCTTGCATTAATAAGTATATTATTCAATTCCTAGAAAATGTTAGTTTATTACTGTGCTTACAGGTTGTAATCATAGATAAAATTGAAATCTTAATACCACATACTGATTTTTAACTCTTATAGCTCATTGATAAACAGATAATATGTTCTATATAGTACTAAAACCTTGATTTCATCAGATTTCAATGTACATGAAAGGGAACTTCCTATTTTTAGAAGAAAGAATATAAGAATTTGAACTTATATCAGGATATTTAAAAAACACACTTTCAATTGAACTATTGCTGTTAAATAAGTTGCCTATTCCTATTACATCCATAGGACTATATAGTTATTCATCATTTAGAATGCAATCTCAGTAATGTTAGAACAAATACTAACTTAATATGAATAACCCTATTCTCTTTAAGCTTGATCTATATTTCTTTTAAGAACTGGGATTTTTTTAAAATCATTTTTTTAAACTCTGTTTCTTTGCTTGTTTCTAAACATGAAAGTTGGACATTTCATGAATATCAAAAGAATAATTTTCTATATGAAAATGATGTCCATCGACATTATGTTTTTGCTAAGAGAAGAACTGGCCTCTTAAATATTTGTGTGACCAACAGCTCTTCATGTTATAAAGAGAACTCAACAGGTAACTTTTTCTTGTTTATTAATATTATTAACAATGAATGTTAGTAATTTAATAAAACCAAAAGGTATTCTTACTGGCTTGCTTTGCCAATTATGCTGCTCATTTTAAAACTAGAAGCTTATTAAATGGGGAAAAAAAAACTGGTTGAAATACATGATTTTCTCACAAATACTTTTTAGTCAATGAACAACAGCGTCTGTATACAGAAGAAAGAACAACCAATACGAGGCTTTCTAAAAGTTTTTGTAGACTGAGCCAGCAATTAAGAGTTCACAGGGAATCACTTTCAGAGAAAACAGTCTGATTGACACTGGTTGCCCTCATTTGCATTGAACTTTTCCCAAAAATATTAAAAAAAGGTGCAAAGTTTCACATTAGAGGTACAAGGTAAACCAAGTCAAACCTCTTACATTCTACATTTTTATTGCTCATCATTTCCTTGGGATCTATAGATTACAGAGCTGTATGCAAATGTCTGGTTTAAATTCCCAGTTGGTGAGATCATTACTCAAAGACAGATGCAGCAAAGTATACTGGCTGGAGAGTCATTAAATGATTTTGTGATCTTGAGCATGTCCCTTCCTTATTTAGACCTCATTCTCCTAAGCTAAAATGCAGGAACTAGATTGTTTCCACCAACACTAGTCTGGATGTTTATTGTACGGTGGTGGCTTGCGTGTTGCTGTGAGCCTGGAGGCTGTGCTGCTGGTATTTCAAAACCAACAAGTTCCCCAGTGGTGGACAGGTTTCAGGGAAGATTCCAGACTAAGACAGACTGGGAAGAAGGACAGGGCCATCTACTTCTGAAAAATTGGGCAGTGAAAACCTCATGAAAAACAGGTGAAACACTTTTGGATGTATTACTGGAAAACTTTATGAATAGCCCTGAAATATTGTCTGGTATAGTGCCAGAAGATGATCCCCTCAGGTTGGCAGCCATTCTAGATATGTCTGGGGAAGAACTGCCTACTCAAAGTAGTCAACCTTATTAACATGGGTGGAGTAAAGCTTTCAAGACCTTCATTTGCTGATGAGGCACAACTTGAAATAGAAATAAGAGCTGCCAGCATCCATTAATGATGTACCATGGAATGTACAAAGTTTGAATCTAGGAAAATTAGACATTGTCAGAATGAAATGGAACACATAAGGATCAATATCCTAGCATTAGTGAGCTGAAATGGACTGGTATTGGCCCTTATGTATCAGACAATCATTTGATCTACTATGCTAGGGATGACAAATTGAAGAGGAATGGCATTGCATTTGTCGTAAAAAAGAATGTTTCAAGATTTATCGTGAAGTACAATGCTGTCAGTGATAGAATAATATCCATATGCCTACAGGAAGACCAGTTAATACAACTATTATTCAAATTAATGCACCAACCACCAAAGCCAAAGATGAGGAAATTGAAGATTTTTATCAATTTCTGCAGTATGAAATTGATGGAACATGCAATCAGGATGTGTTAATTATCACTGGTGACTGGAATGCAAAAGTTGGAAACAAACAAGAATCACCAGTAGTTGTAAATTTGGCCTCAGTGACAGAAATAATGCTGGAAATCACATGGTAGAATTTTGCAAGATGAATGACTTATTCATTGCAAATACCTTTTTTCACCAACATAAACAGCAGCTGTACATGTGGACTTCACCAGATGGAACACACAGGAATAAGATTGACTACATCTGTGGCAAGAGGCAATGGAAAAGCTCAATATCTTCAGCCAAAACCAGGCCAGGAGCTGATTGTGGAACAGACCATCAACTGCTCATAGGCAAGTTCAACTTGAAGTTAAAAACAATTAAAACAAGTCCACGAGAGCCAAACTGTGATCTTGAATATATCCCTCCTGAATTTAGAGACCATCTAAAGAATAGATTTGATGCATTGAAAACCAATGACCAAAAACCAGTCAGGAACTGGGGGATAACATCAAGAACATCATCCATGAAGAAAGCAAGAGGTCACTAAAAAGACAACAAAAGAAGAGAAGACCAATATGGATGATAGAAGAGACTCTGAAACTTGCCCTTGAG